ATATCAACTGAAAAACATACATTTTTATAAATTATTGAACTGGTCTTGAATCGCATTAAGCTAATAAGCGAAATCAACTATTTATTGTTTCATTACTGCCTGCAGTTTCACCTTATATACATTCTAAGAGATTACCCTATTTAGTAACATATTTTTATAATTATATTCATCCATTTAAGTTTATTGAATTTAATAAAGAAATGAGTAAAAGTAAGAACAAAATATTTTGAATTGTCGAAAATTTTTTAAAGAACTATCTTAAAGCATATCGCTTGTATACATTATTCATAGTTAAAGTAATTTTTTTTTGCTTAAAGTGACGCTGAAATTCATTTTACATATCATAACGTCATATTTACGTTGTATGAAATATTTGAATCCAAATACAGAATAGTTATTTATACGATTGCCACGTAAATAATAAACAGATTTTTACTTAAAATTGATCATATAACCTTGACATTATCAATTCTAACTATATATATATATATATATTTGTTTTGTGTCATAAGAAATATTTAAATGTGATATAGACTTCAATGTTATTACAATATTAAAGTTATCCAATATTAAATACAGATGCTTTCATATGATGAACATAATCTCATCTCTGAGGATGATAAATTGAAAATACTGCCTATACTCAAGTTATTTCATAGCAATCTTAAATTGGTACTAGATCCTACAATTACTGATATGCATATAATTATCTCGTAAAATCATCTTTCTTTCTTTTTTTTATATATTGATTTTCTCAATTCTGTTGTTTTATTTTTTGTATGTTTGTTTTTAAGCTACTTTTTTATTCTTCTTATTTTATTTTACATAACTTGATATCGACTTAATTATTCTTCAAATTCTTTACAAAGATCCCATAGAGTGTAAACTAAATTTTTCATTTAATTTATATTGTCCAAAACTTTAGTGTTTGCTCGGATCATATATTCAAATTATTTGTATATTAATTAAATAATTGCTGAAATGTATTTATATTTATGTACATTATTTACAAATATATACAAATTATTAAAATGCTTCCTACATCACAAAAAAATCTCATCCGTAAAATTAGGGCTATATAATAATTATGCAGAATTTATACAAAAATTATACATCTTATTAACCGAATAAAAAAATTAAATCATTACTATTCATGAAACCTACGTAATTCTAGTTAAGTGCAGTGGCTGTGAATAAAACTCATTTTCCTTTTACGCAACCATATTATAATCTGATAAGGATATTTTTTAACTTTTTTATAATTTTTGCCTGACAGTATACTTTTTCAAGAGATCATTTGATCTTATATTTATATTAAATCTTGTATAAATTTTCGATAAAAAATATGATTATGAAAATGTTAATTGAAAAACATATTTAACTAACATAATAATGCATAGCATGTGAATAAAACATTCTTATACAAACTATGTACTACATGATTATTATTTATTACTCATAACTAAAAATATGTATAATAAAATAATAAAACTTGTTTTATTAAATTTATTTATTTTAGAATCGTGACGATGTTATTAAAAGTTTTAAAAATCACTTTAAAAATAAGAGTTTTTGTCTTTATAAATTATTTTGCTAAATTATTATAAAATTATTTTTATAGTGCTTTTAAATTTTAATGTTACTATCAAAATTGATAAATTTAAATAAAACTTAGCATAAACTGTTTTCAGTCAAAATTTATCTATAATAATCAATAAATAATAATTTTGAATAAAAAGAAATTATAAAACTACACTATGAATGTAATAATTGACATTTTTTAAATAATATCGATAAAAATACTGTCTTTTAAAGCGTTTACTATATTTTAAATATTACATGTATATAAAAAATATTATATTTTATAATTAGAAAAATTGTATTAAAAAATTATATTTAAATTTTCTCTTTAAAATCTTTAACATTGACAAAGCATAATTTCATTACACCAAGCTATATAAAAAGATAAAAGCAATATATGTTATTTTTATTAATTTCTGAATAAAATACGAGTGGAAATAAAAATACACGATTAAGAATGAATATTCTTAAACGTAAATCAAAATCTTACTTTAGAAATACAACATATAATAAAAAACTTTTCAATTTTAATATAATTATTAATACTGAGCTAACTGAAATTAATTAAATACAAATTAAAATTAACTGTTAAAAATTAATATTAAAAATTGCTTTCATATATAATATTTTCATTATATAATTGTTAATGATATTAATAAAATTCATTTTGTATAAAACATAATTATCGTGAAAAAAATATAATTTAATAAAAATGGAGATTATTGTATAAATTATGAATAATGTTTAAGCATAGAACATATGCGATATTTTATAATAAAAATATTTTTTTTTTAATTTTTTTTTAATTATATTTAATTTAAAAAATATTATTTTTTTAAAATTAATCTTACTAGTTAAACAATTCAAATTTTAATAATGAATATACATTCTTCAAATTTCAATTAATAGTAAAAATAAAACTTATTTCAATCTTAAAAAATAAAACATTTTTTCTTTCAAGTAAATTACAAATATTAAGTGAAATAATACTGACTTATCTTCTCTTATATGACAGCATATTACTCATTTATATTATCAATAATTCAAAATTTTAATTAAACAATTATTAATCAATTTATAATGTGTAATCTTTTGTTATAGAATCAATAATCAATAATAATTTATAGATTAGAACATAGATATTTATAGATAATATAAAAATATAACAAATTTTATAGAAAGGTAATGATTTATTGATTGTTCATATGAATATTAGATAAATTTTTATTTACAGAAAAAGAAATTGTTATATTTAAATTAAATAAGTAAATAGAAATATTAAACATATTTATATTTATATATAGTATAAATTTACTCTCACCTTTTATTAAAATTTATAATATATAATAAGTAATTTACTGACATTTAAATAATTACTGAATATATCTTGAAATGAAATTGCATAGTATAAACAAATCGAGTTCGTGCTTTAATAAAAAAAGTTATATTTGTATATAATATTACTTATAAAAGTGGGAGTAAAATTTATTCACGCCCCTTTTGTGACTAATTATTACAATATGTATAATCAAAATCAATCGACTAATATATTTTGTACAAAATAGCAAAAATACTTGTAAATATTATGTTAATAGTAAATAAGGTTCAATATTTAAGTAATATTCTTTCTAGTCTTTTGAATATATTCTAAAATATTCTAGAAATATTTTATTTATAAAGGTTTGAAACAATTTAATGAATATTTTCAAAATCACAATTATATATATCTATATATTGTTAGAAACGTAAACGAAATTCATCTTATCTACAAAATATTTATTTTTAATACAGGTATGGAATATTACTTTTACATGTCATCAAATATAAACTAACAGAACTTTGAAAATCATAAAATGTATTTTTTTATTATTAAAGTAATATTTAGTATACAATATGTATAATCCCAATAAAATATACATTAACTATAAAAAAGTAGTTAATTTAAAATTAAATGTAAAAATAATATTCATCGAATAGCTTAAAATAGTTGATTCATATTAAATAATGAATACAAAACATATATGTGTTCATATCGGTGCTCAATTATTGTAATTCAAACTTGATTTCTCCCTACTTAAACTTCTCACTTCTAATTCTGTTCTCTATATAGATTCATATTCATTTAAAGATAAAAAATAGTAAAGGGCTAGAATAAAATTTTTTATAGTACATTTGATTTTATATTTCATCTAGTCACAATATTATAAAATTCTCAGGCTGGTGCTATAACTATTGATAAAAACATGTTTGTGATTTCATTACGATTTACAATATATTGCGATTTGAATATTATGTTTTGATTCAACCTTAAGAGTTGAATAATACGTTATTTTTGTTAGTATTAGCTTTTATTTTGTCATCTTCCTGACTCAATTAGGGTTGTATATTATACCTTCTATAATACACAATTCTATCTATTAAATATGTTAATAATAATTGTTACTAATTCATGTTTACTATTAATTCTTATTTGCATAATATCCATATTCATATAATTCTTATTTTTTTTAATCTAAATCACGAAAATAGTATTTGTAAAAAATAAAAAACTATATATAGTTATTCATCTTACGAAGATTATTCTCATGCGTGTGCGTATGTGTGCATGAGAGGAAGAGAAACAACAAAAATCCGAGAAAAATAGTAAATTGAATTTATATATACAAAATAAAATAGAATAAAATTTGTAATTTATTTGTAATTATATGATATGAAGTAATTTCGAAAGCATCGTCCCCGATAACATACAATATAATGACAATATTTAGTAATATAATTTAATATTATTGTTTTAAATTTAATATTTAGTATATTTAGTAATATTATATTTAGTAATATACATGTATATATTTTAAGAATATTTATTATGTTGACATAATTATATGTACCCAATATGAAGCTTGCAGGTGAATATAATTTTCAATCTGTTCTAGTTCTATAAATCTGAAATATACGTAAGCGCTATGATCCGCAAAATATCAGTATCATATGTTTCAGAATAGATTTTTATTTTGTATATAACCAAGCCGAATAGGAAAATAAAGTCAACATCGCTCTCCAACATATTCTAATTGACAATCTTATTTTTATGTTTAGCTCTTATTATATTTACTATTTTATTTCCTCTTCTGCATTTTCCTAAGTTTCATAAAAAAATTTACCATACAATTCTATCACAGAAAATCTAATTAATTATATATTATATACTATACAAACTTCAGAAAGTAAAATTACGAATGATCTCGGATGTTACATGATATTCATATTTCATATATAATTTATTGATATTCGCAGATTTAACAACATTGATATAAATTATATTCTTCGATACATTAAATAATAGAAAATAAATCAATTTTAAAAAATCATAAATAATAATATTTAAAATGTTTATTTAAAACATCAGACAACTGTAAAATTATTTATAAGTTTAAATTTGAAAGTAATGGTACTAAATCGTTTTGTTTTTCTATTATTTCACGACATGCTTCATTCCAAAGACCGTAATTTAAATTAAGGATCTCTTCAGCGTGATGTAAATAGCGTCGAGTTTTTTTTAAAATATTTCTATAATATTAAAATTATATTAATAGGTTAATATTACTGTAATATAAATTCATCATTTTGAATATTTTCTAAAAGTAGCTTAAGACCTTACTTGTATTGTTTAGTATTTGGATTTGTTTCTTCTCTTAAGTATTGAAGGCATATGTCCGTAATTTTGTTAAGTTCATTAGCTAATTCTATACTGTCAGAACCAAATCTCTCTTCTATCGCAGCTATACTATGTTCTAAATATGATACGGAATCCAACCATCGACCTATTACAAATTCAACAAATTTGATTATTTTATGGCTAATATGATCCTATGTATTCATATGTTGAATATTCAATATTAAATTTATTTTTTAATTTAATTTAAATGAATATTTTCTGATAAATTTATGTTTTATAATTTTTAGAATATAAAATGTAAAAATAAACTTATTATTAATATAATTAAATTGAAACACATGATACAAACTACAAAAGTTATACAATAAATTTAATGAATAATTAATATCCTTATTTTATATAATGTACGAATTATATTATTTTATTTAAATATTCCTTTATATAATATTTGATAATAAAATTTAACTTACTTTATCTAAAGAGAAAATAATGCATGATTCTCTGGTAGAGAAGAATAATTCATGCACACAACATTCAAAAATATAATACTCTCGATAGGAAAATATAAACAAATATTTTACCATAAGTCGTTCGAACAAAATTTAATATATATCATATGGAGTGGTATATTATTATATAAAATTATTACAAACAATTAAGCAAAAAAATATTAATACTTGAGATAGATTAAAGTATAAAGACTTAAATATATGAATTAAGTGCATAATTCATAAATTTCACGAAGTCGTATCGTTTTATAATGTATGAATTCATTGCTTTTTTATAATCCTGCTGCATTTGTCCCAATTCGAGCTGCGTAATATTTTAACAAACTTATAAAAATATTTTCAAATAATTGTACACAACAACCCTCTTCATAAACATATTTTTTATACGTAAGCTTGTCTTATTTTCTATTGTAAAATCTTTTTTCTCTTGTTCTTGAATATTTTGATATCTTTTAAAAATTAGACCTATGTTATATATTAGTTGTGAATTTGATGATTTTTATATGAAGCTAATTTTTCACGCTATCTCGGTTTAATATACATTTAGATTCTAGTTGTTAATCTCTACCCTACCTTTTTACATCGCTCCAATGAGATATTCAAATCTCGTACCAAATTATTTAATTAAAAAATTAATTTAAACAATAAAATTTTTTGTTTCTTTGAATTCCACCTTTTAAAAAATTACTTAATTTTATACAGTTGTCATTTTATATTTTCAAGTTATATATTACCACAACATAGTTTTTAAAAATAATTCTTCTATAAAACCTAATTATATATTCTTTAAAAATAAATTCAATTTATGATATAATTTTATTTCAGCAAAGCCTTACAAAACTATACTTTTTCTATTTCTCATTTTCTTAAAAAAAAATGTTAATTGCATCCTTCATATTCCGTAAAATACCATGGGTAAAACAAACCGTATGCAAAAACGTTTCTGTACACGATTTTACAATCCAATTAAACAATTAGGTTTAAACAAAAATTTCTATTTTCAGCTTACACATTCCTTATTTATAGTTAATATTAAAAGTAAATCGAATAATTTAATGCAATTATTAAATATTGTCAATTGTCATGAATACTATTCCCAAATGTAGATTGTTTTGAAAGAGTAAAAAAAAAAAATTACTTCATAAAGGAACTACGTAATTTCAGTATAAAAATTGAAAATATTAAAAATGATTTATTTAGTTTTTAATATTCTCATAAGTATCAGTCTAGCATTATAAAAAATAATGCAACTTTTTTTATTTTAAATCTATTTAAGACAAGATTAATCACTGATAATTTAGAAAATATTTACTTGATAAATTTTCTTGATAATTAGATGTTTAAATTCTTTACATTTGTTATCAACAACATAACAAACTTCAGCATTAAAAAAAATATATATATTTTTTTAAACAATGATAATAACAATAATTAAATAATATATAATTATGTGGTTGCATAAAGTAAATACTTTTATTCTTATTATAAACATATAATATTCTTTAGAATAAATACAATTCTTTTAAAAATGTTAATTTTGCAATAAAATATCGCTTACCCATAATTGCTAATATTTTTCCAATTAAATCATAAGTGAATGCAACAGCTTCATGATGGTTATTTAAAATATTTTTTCTAATTTCAAGACATTGCTTTGCTTTTTCTAAAGCTTCTTCATTATTTTCTGATTGCATAAAAAATCTAGATAATTCATAGAGCTTATTAGCTTGTTCTAATTCGTGTAATTTATTTTTAGTTAAATCAAATGTAGTTTCACAATCAACACAATAAATGGTTGAATCATTAATAATTTCAACAGGACCACCACATGCCTCACAATTCAATTTTTGAAATTTATCCTTAAAATCAAATATAATCAATAATAAAAAAGATGTAATCACTACAATTGTGTAAAAATGTTGACAAAAATATTTACAGAAAAGTTTTGTAAAGCTAGCTGAGAACAAGCTTCACAATTGCATGTGAAACAATATTGATTCTTTAATGCTGTTTGTCTGTCATTCTTACTCATTCGTCTGTAATGTGGTCCTTAAAAAATTTTATATTACTATCACATAATCTCAAACTAATTCTTAAAAAAACAATATTTCATACCATAGCAATTAAAAATTTCATCATTAATTAATATGTCTTTTGCTGCTTTAACAATAAGATATTGATCTTTAAAACTATAATATTAAGATATTCCAATGTAGAATCATCATTTAAAGAATTCTTAATTAATCATAAATTTATAATTACCTATTGATGATATTTGGATCACAAGAATGATTCATCATACTAGCAGAAGGATATATGGCAGTTGCCACTCTGCATTGATATTCAGTAGCAATATTGTGTGATTCTGACGTAGTTAAATTTAATCTTGTAATTGCATGCCCATTACAAATAAGCTGTAACATATTTCTTAAAAGTATTCCACTAACATAGAGCATATTATGTTCTTCAGTCCATTCTTCAGGTGTAAATTCAGACAATATATACATATTCAATTTTTGATTATTAAACTTCATAAAAAGTCTTTCATAAATATTAATTATTTTAAAAAAATTCGTAAATGTATTCAAATATAATGCCATCATTAAAGCAGACTAAAAAATAAAAATAGAAATTTTCTAATAAATGATTCAGATTAATTGTAATTATTATCAAACTTACAACTCCATATATAAACATATCTTGTGTAGATATTTTGTCAATATTTGTAATTAGTTGTTGAATTTCATTAAATTTTTTTTTATTATCTGTATAACAGCAATTTAAAAAAGTTCTTATTGTTAAATGAGCAATCCCTATTTGATCCCAGATACCAATTTGATTACCAAAGCATTCCCATTGATGATATGATGTCCAAGCTAGTTTTTGACATTTTTCTGTGCAATACATTGTGCATGCACAAAATTTGCAACTAATTTGATAATTATTTTTACATATATTATATAATAAAGTTGTTTCGTTATTAGAGTTACTTACGGAACTGGAATGTCACCTCTGGATTTACAACAATTTGCACAAACCACATCACTATTTTCGTTGTCCAATAAAACAAAAGCAAAAGGTTTCTCAACGAATAAAATTTGACCTTTCTTTATGTTTTGATTAGCAACAACATAGCGACCTTTCTCTACTGAAAATTTCAAGTCTAATGCAATTGAAGCATATGGAAAATTTGGATTTTCACCAAATGTAAGGTTTGGTAACATAGAATCTATATTATCTATATCAACATTATCTATTATATTGACAGCTTCAGAGAGTAAATTTTCAATTTGCCTTTCTATATCATCTGGAAATTTGTTAATACTTTATGAATTAAATATATAGTAACCAGTAATCTAGTGAAATTTTTTTATAGAATATTATATTTACTCACCTTTTTTCGGAGCCAATAGAATACTATTATTTTCAAGGCATTCATAAACTTTATGAAGAGCTTCCTCCATGAGACTTCTTTTATGTAATTTTAAATAACAATGTGCAGCACGTAAATGCAATTTATACAATATATTTTTAGGATAATTATATTGTAAGGCTAATTTAATATCTTTAATACAAGCCTATTAAAGCAGTAAAGTTGTATATTAAATAAAATATAAATATGAAAAATTAATGAATATATGTGATAAAATAGATAAGTAAAAAATCATATAAATAACAATAGTTATATTTAACAATATAGGAAATATTATTATAAAAAAGTATTTAAAGTACACAACATACATAAAAACAAAGTAGGAAACGAAAACATTAAATTGTTGAAAGAATGTATAATTTCCAAATAATTTAAAGAAAATTTTAAATTTCAAACAAGTTTGAAAAGTATATAATATATAAAATAAAATAAAAATAGAAAATACCAATTTTTAAAAATGATTAATACTAAATATTTGCATCTGCAAAAATTGTATGTACAAATAAAATATTTGAAAAACCCAGTATAAAGAATTAATATTTTTAATTTAAAACAAAAAGTCTTATATATATATATAAAACATAAAATATTGAAAAATGATAGGTTCCTACAATAAATTATAAAACAAATAATATATATTATAACATAAAGTAGAAATATAAAACAAAAAAGTGAAAACTAAAATTATGATTATAACACAAAATAATATACAAAAAATTAAATCATTAAATGGAAAACTTATAAAAATACTAATGGAAATAAAAAAAAGCTTAACTGAATAATATTTAATTGGTAATAAGAATTTTACAATAAAAACATCCTTGTAATTTATAAAGTTTTAATATTCTTTAAAGAATAATTTTTATTTACTTCTGATAATTTTATAATTAAATAATTGAATCAATCAATTGAAAAATCATAGATTAAAGTAAACATTTAAGAAAAGAAAATAATATATAAAGTAATTTTAAATATTTTTTATTACTTTTATGACCATATAAAATAAAAAATATAATAATTTTCACTTCCATATTTATCATTTAAATAATATAAATATATCTTTAAAAACAATCTTTTAAAAGTATAAGTTAAATAAAAAAAATAAATAACCATTTTATTATACCTCATATTTCTCTATGTAAAATAATGCAGCTGATCTATTGGCTAATGCTAACGGCAAATCTTCACTTTCTGATGGAGCATATTGTAAACTTAAAGTATAATATTTGATACTTAAAAAATATTTTTTATTTTGAAATTCCTTATTGCCTTGTTTTCGTAGTTCTTCACTTTTTTGTACATTTTTTTTATTTGACGTTTGATTTTGTTCCACATTATGAAGCCATGCAAGAATTTGTTTTCTATGAACATAGATTAATTAAAATATTAAACATTTGCTATTGATAATTCAATTTTATATTTTTACTAAGATATTAAAAAATAAACAATTAATGTACTTATACTTTACTGCTATTTTACTATTACTATTCGTAATTTAATCAATTTACCTTATAGTAACATTCTCTACAAAGTAACTCATTATTTTAAATTCATTTTTTTCTACATCAAGTAAATTGAATGTTTTATTTTGGCGAACTAGTAATCGAAGTGTTTGTTGCCAAGTGTTCATATTTTAACCATAAATTACTTTTTTCATTAATATTATCTTACTGCACTTATTTGAAAAGCATATCAATAATAGAAGTAGTAATAATTATATGTTTCTGTAGTTTATCATATAAAATGTCCTGACGGAACTATAATATTTATAGACTTTTAATTCTGAATATATTACAAATTACCTTAACCAGTAACAAAGAATGAAGCCTTTTATCAAATATACAGTACAAGTTAAAGCTTATTGGCTTTTCCAAATGTGGACAATTTAAATACAAATTCTGCTAAGTATTCTAAAATTTTTTTATTAATAATAGAGTAGTATTTGAAAAAAAGTATTTTCATTGCTGTTTAATCTATTAAAATATCAAATATTCTTCGATAACATTCTAAATAAAAAATTAAATAATATTTTTATTATTTGATTATATTATTTGATTGCATTTGTCCGATTCTTATAAAAATAGATGATATAAAATAAATATTTTTTATATTTAATTATATTTTTAAAAACTTCATTTTTCAATAATTATGATTTACACAGCAATGTATTCCAAATTTTAATGGACTCTGAGACTTTAAATTAAAATATAGGTATATATATTAAAATATATATTAAAATCTTATACCCTTTACACAATATGTAAGAAAGATTTGCTTTAGCGATATTTTAAATAAGCTTTCTTATTTTACATCATCTTTTCTATTAAGATAAAAGTTAATTCAAATAAAAATAAAATAATTCTAGAAAAACAAAAAAAAGATAATTCAATCAAATCCAAAAAAAAATTTAATTGTTCAATGAAATGATTAAATGATGTTTTTGTTGACAGTATCCAAAAAGATCAAATAATTAAAAAAAAACAGTGATATATAGGTACATAAAAAGTTACTATTTATTAAGATAATATTAATTGATAGTTATAATATTTGGTCTCGTTGATCAAAATTGACTCGTTGAGTTAGCGTTTTTGCTAAAGAATAGAGTAAATTAATTAACGGTTCTAAAAAAAGACTAAATTAATATATTCTTGAAGTATAGTGAAATACTATATGAAAAATACAATAAATGGCAGTGCTTATAGCTATTCTGTATTTATGATAGGTGTTTGTATCGTCGGTATATTATTCCTGATTTATATTTCTATAATACATATGACTAACTCATATCAAACTATAATTGCTTAAACGGCGGAAGTGGGATGTTTACTTCTACGAAAGGGGGATGACTAAATGAGATTGTAATACGTATTACAGATTATATATTACTGGAAACAAATTCAGGGTGAATTAGAATAGAGAGCAATTAAAACCCATTAACTCTTAAATATATAAATCAAAATTGAAATCAAAATTTATAACACAGGAGTCAGGGAAATCCCGACCAAAGATGGAACGTGAAAAAGTTTACATGTTGCATAAGAGAGGAAGAGATAAACTAGACTTATTTTTATATAAGATTTTTTACAAAAATAAATAACACTCTTTACTAATACGAATTTTACACTATTTTTTAATATGAAGATTTTTTAATATAATTTATTTTCTTTCTTAGATATGCAAGGCTTTATTACTGTATGACTAATATATTATTTCACCTAATTTATGTATAACTACTGTAAATCATTGCCAGCATAGCAATTGTATTCAAACATTCAAATCCGTCCAATTTGCACAAACAATAAAGAGGTAAAGATCATTTGTGTTAACTCTATATGATTCAGTATAAATGTACCATAAAAGATTCTTGAGTCATTGTAAATCTGCTACGTAAATTGTTAAAAATAAAAAAAAACAAATCAAAGGTAACAATTTACAATTATCTATCAGCGTAGTTAATATAAGTTCTCAATTAGTAATATATATCTGATAATCAATTAAAAAAATTTTATCAATTAATCATAAAAAACATTTTGCTACATGAATTTTTAAAAAATTTTAGAAGTTAAAGGTGATTAAATAGAATTACTCAATTCAATATATTTAAATATTATAATTAATTTAATAATTAAAAATTAATGGAATTAATTAACACAGACTATGGATCTATTTATTGGTGAGTTCTTGAACTACAAGGGACAATTTCAAAATCATACAATATAAGAGTTCATTAGTAATACTTAATTCATCGACTCCACTATATAAAAAAAAACCATTGCATTGTGCTATGTAAAAGATCATAAGTTAGTATTTACAAATATAAATCTAACTTCGACGAAAAATTTACTTGTCATTAGACTGTATGTAAACTGTTAGTATCGTAAAAAACTCTTTGATTTCTTAACCTAGTTAAGCGTTAAATGAAAGATATTTCTAAAAATTAATGCTTAAATCAAATACATGATTAATGATAAGTGTGAAAGTATAATATTAGACTAATGAAATAAAGGTTAGAAATAACGATTACTAAATTGTTTAGTAACATACATGAAGCTTGGTTACATACATGGTCGAAAGGAGCGATCCAGTCTAAGAAAATGAACATTCTCGACTCCTACTTTAATTATTAAAGAATGGTCAACATTCAACTTATTTTACCCAATATTTATTGATTGCTTAGTTAAAATATTATAATGCAAACTCCTAAATATAAAATAAAATAAATCGACTAAGTTGCTTAATTATTTTTATTTCCTTATAATCCAATCAATACCCGTATTATTGTCTTACAATTTATTTTTATTTATTTTAACTTCTATAAAATCTCATTAAATTTAAAAAAATTATAATTCTAACTGGAACATAGTATTATATTTCTCACTCATATCTATACGATGCTATTATTCTAATTTAAAATTGCTACATCCTACTTCATTTTTATAAATATTTATAAAACGTTTTTTACAAAGCAGTTACATATAGGCATTCATATTTAATGTAAGTATAGTGAGATATAAAAAGGAATAATTATTTATAGGACAGTAAAAGAAATATAAGTATATATTTGAAATGTCTAATTATTTAATGAGTATTATTATATAAATTACTAGTAGTAATTATCCATTAAAACTTTATCCTGTCATTTATGTATTGATTTAGATTAGACAGGCTGTGAACTATTTTTTTTATTGTAAATTTGAATTTCGGAATTACAGTGATAGAATTGCTAATAGGAAATAACTTCAAAACATCATCCAATTTGGAGAAGGTTCTTATGTTGTTTTAAGAAGTAATCATTTGAATAAATCAGAGATAACAAACAGGCTTTGAATTAATGTCAATCCAGCATCCATTGAGTGCTCTCTCAAATTATCTAAATTTCTGTTCTGACTTTTACTTACATTGACATACCAGCATCTTAAATATTATGCTATATCAAATTATCCAATTGCTGCACATATTTGTCTGTAATACATTTTTTATGATAAATTAGTAGTTTTTAATTTTGTCATTTACTTGTTGTTCTTTAGAAATTACATTATAAAGTTGTACAGATCATAAAAATTATAACAATTATGATTCCTATTAACTATCAAACCATTATATACATTTCAGATAGTTATATATTTTAAATAATTACATTTAGATAAAGAATTATATCTAGTATTAATTATAATGTTAATATTCATAGATTTCAGATTATAAGGTACGCTATTAAAAATTAAACAATAAATTAATTAAAATATACAATATATTCAGAATATGATAAATTGTATACATTTAAAAAATCATCTATATATATATAAATATATTTAACAAAAGTATTAAGTAGAAAATATTTTAGTTCAACATCAAAAATGGGTAAAAAAAATCTTTAATTTTTTTTTTATCATTCTTTTCTTGTAAATATCCATCTATATTTTATTTAGAACATTTAATCTCATATATAACATATTTACAATAAATTCTATTATGTATCATGTATTGTTAAATGAACTAATGAAAATAGTATTTTTAAAACAAATTTTTTAAAAAATTAAGTAATAAAAATATTTTATTTATTTTAGGAAATTTCACTTTCGATTTTATAAATCTCTTCTATTCAAATTTGTATTTTTAAATGATTCATATTTTGACAAATTTTACAGTTGAATTTAATATAAGAATTTTGTGGTATTTACATAGCAAAATATTTTTCCAGTATAATATTTATGTAATAAATATGAACAAATATTACGTCATATATGTTACATGATTATTAAAATCAATGGTAACTAATAGATCATAGTGAATAAATTCTTTGAATAACTTACATATACTTTTTCATTATCTATGATATAGCTTGGATTACAAATATTCTAGAAATATTCTAAATTATAAAATTTTAACATATTCCATAATAAAATGAATATTTAACTTATATATGTGACAAATATATTCTATTAGTGATATAAGAATTTAACATTGTTTAAATAAAATCATAAATTTAATACTTAACCTTAATTTATTACATAACCTCTGATTAGTAATTCAATATTTAATTTATTTTTAAAAAATGCATCAACAAACTTGAATTAACATGTAGTTAATGATTCATAAAATATTAACAAGAAATTTGTTTTAGAGAATCTTTGCTAAACTGTATGTTGTAATAAAAATATATATATAAATATATTCTAGGGTTTCTAACAACTTTATTATTCAAGTTTTTTAAATATTTAGAATAAATTGAGGTAGTGTTGTAAAAGTTATACTTATAATAAAACTAGTTAATTATTCAAATATTATTTTCACATTTATAAAGTGAAGTCAGTAAATCTTCATACAGGTGCATATTTGTTTCAAAGGCCTCCAATTGTTTTGTAAGATCACCCACTTGTTGTGCTAGTGTTTGTTCTTCCATAAAAGCTTGAAGTTGTGGAGCACTTTGACATTCGCGATAAAAAGTACCCAAATCACTATTCGTATTTGTTGCAGCAAAAGGAGTTTTCTAAAAATAAAATAGAAACTTATTTATAAAACCAATCATTTAGTAATCCATATAATTCTTCAATAAATTAAACAAAATTAAATGATATTTTATGTAACATTAATTATGGTATAATAAAACAAAATTTAAAAAATGTTTACCTATAAAAGTAATTACATTGATAGTGCAATTTTGAAATTTTTTATTTCTAATGAACATATTAAAAATTATTCATGTTAATGATACTCATTTAATTACCAAGTCTACCATTATAAAATCCTCGTTCACACTTGTAGAACAACTACTTCGTCTAGATCCATTTTGTGAGTTACATTTTGATGTAATATTGTTATGTATTAATTGTTCGTTCCCATTACATGTATCAATTACTCTTTCACATATAGAATCAATTGAGGTTGCATTTACTATTTGATTTACTGAATTCAGAGGTGGTGATGATGTTTGATGTAGCATTAAAAGAGAACTAAATGGAATATGTCCATGACTATTTTCTTCATTTGTGGTATATTGTTTATTAACAACAAATGCTCCTATTTTAACAGTATCATATAATGACTTTGAACTTTCTTCACTAATATATAAAATTTAATTGATATTAATTTATTATTTTTTGATAAATGAACATTAATAATTATGAACATACTTTTGTTGATATCGTGTATGTTTAGGACTTAGGTCTGAGTGAAAATGATCACTTTTTAACATTATAGTATCTCTACCAGTTTGTGTTGGTGAAATTGTCATTTTTGTTCTATAAGAAACTGACAAGTGAACTATACCCACAGCTGTACACAATTGGCCAACCCTAATATGTTTATAATTATCACCTAAAAAAATTATAATAAAATTAAGAAAAAATAGAATACTTAGTAGTAAATTATAAAGTACTTTTTATATGTTTCTATATTTTATTATATAAATATTGTTAAACTATATTAATAACACATATGCATATATAATTATAAAATATAAAAAAAATGATATTTTTTGTTTATTAAATTATATATCTAAAAAAAGTAAGAACTTTAAAATTATTATTTATCTATACTTAATATGCATAATATATATATATTTTTGCTGTTGTATATATTCATACTATTTAGTACTAAGATTAAACATTTACTTTTTATTTTAATAAAAATGTTTTAAAACTAAAGATTTACAAAAATGAACTAAAGGTAAATATAAAAACAATAATTTTTAGAAAAACTAAATATATAAAATAGAAATTATTTAGGTTCAATTAAATTTTTATTAATTTGTAAAATCAAAGTATTTAAAATATTTTATTAGAATTATGTCAGATTTAGAAAAATATTAATATTAATGATATATTTTATATATCTTATTAAGTTCGTAAACATAAATAAAATCGTTATTAAAATTATGAATACATATACCTAAAGTATGAAGTTGAGGTTCTCCCATATAAATTCGGTAACAAATGCGATATGAATCCGATCCTTGTCTTCGACTTAATTTATAAGCAGGCGTAATTCTTGATACCGAAAGTAAAGATTTTAATAAAATTCCCATTCTGTTATATATTGTAAAAGCTAATTGAATCATAGGTTCAATATGTTCTGAAATAACACTAAGACTCCAGGTTTCAAGTACCATCGTATCACCTTCTATGGTTTTAAGTGATATTTCTATACATAAAGGAATTGAAGAACTAATTATATCTTTACAAAGCACTCGTTTTGCTTCTGTTAAAGCTTCTGGTACATCTTGTATTGCTAAATTAAACTAAAATTTAGTTATACAAAAATTAATTTGTGATGAAAGAAATATATTTAATACATCAAAGAATATATCACCGAATCTGTATCTGATGAGTTTGGTTTGCATTTCGTAAAAACTTTATCCCCAGATCGTGATTGAATAATAATCTGAGCAGCTTTTAATGCCATAAATTTGATAAATTTTTCTAAATCCCGTTTATCTTGCATACTACATAAAAAAACATATAGTTTACTAAATTATATAACTATCTTGAAGTTTCATATAGTATTAATTTTGGTTTATAAAAATACGCATGTTGTATTTTATTTATAAATTGTCATAATCATCTTATTAGTTATACCTTGGTTTGAATACTCAATAATTAATACATTTTCTTATTTAATACATAAATTATAAGTTGATGCAATAGTTATGAACCAAAAAATATTAAACTACTAATTAAAAATACATATAAATATAAAAATCAAATATAAAAATATTATTACATAAAATAATTACATAAAAAATTTAATTTAAGAAATAGTTATAAAATTGTTTTGTATAGATAAAAACCTAGTTTCAATTATAACGTTACTAAAATAATACATTAAACAAACAATTCATAGAACGTGCCATTAATATAGTTTAGTGTTCATTATAGATTTACGTTGATTGGCTCTTATAAATACCTTTATACAAGCCAACTTATAAATTTTTCAATTTTATAAATAATATGGAAGTAAATTTATTAGTAATCACATATTCTAATCGCAGAAATTGCACTTTTATAATAATACTTATGCTGTTTTCAAAATGTATAAATGTTCTTATTTTAAAAAGCATGAAACTCATTCATACTGTTTTGTTTTGAAAAATTTCATTATGGATGTTTTGAATTGCACTCTCATTACATTTAACTACTAATTTATTATAAAATATGAACTATTGACGTATATTCTTAGACATCAAGATATATACTACACATGCGCAAATATGTCTTCCAGAATATACGTATATAAATACGAATTGTAATAATGATATAATAAATAAAAATTTTTAGATATATACATATATACCTACTGGTCATTTATAAAAATTCAATAAAATTTATTGCTACTTCTAATGATTTCAAAAATTCAATAATATATATATAAGTATAATGATGATAATGATTATCCTTAGTGATAATATTTAATTGTATTGATAATAATTTGTAATTGCTTTAAAAAAGCGAATATTCTATTCAGTTAGTTATATCTAAAATATTTTTAAAAGATTGAACAGGCTTGATTGTTTGCAAATGTGTTCACTTGGATTGTTATATATTAGTATAATACTAATTATGTACTTATTTCAAATCATTTTAAAGTATAATTTAACGTATTATTTTAAGTGAATATAAACAGCAATTATTAAAAAATGAGATTATAACTGATTACTTATAAACAAAGATACAAAACCGTTAATATCAATTAATTAATAAGTGAATCCTACTAGTTAAAAGTAATATCAATTAATCCAACAATTCTGAATATGATTGATAAAATTATGGATTGTCTATTTCTAGAGAATCCTATAAAGAATTAAAAAATGAATAAACTATATTTAATAAAAATAGAAGAAACTTAAATAAAATTGTATAAGATTTGAGAATAACTGACTTCTTATAGATGAAGAAAATCAATAGATATAGATGGCATATATTTAATGTATGGTAGTAAACCACTGTAGAACAACTCTGCGTCTATTATTCCTAATAAATACTTTCTTAATCTAATATTATTCTCATCATAAATAAAACAATATTCACTTAGTAACGACAATAAAATGTATAGCTACAAATAGGACACAAAATATCAAAAACTTTTTTTACTATAAAACAATTATAAATAATAATAAATGTTTTTAAAGTTTAAAACAATTTTGTAAATATTAGTATGGATTGAAGTTCAACAGGAGCAATATTAAAAAAACACTATTAAATATTTTATTGATTCAATTAATTCTATTGATATTTGTACAAATGAAATCAAAATGTATTTTACAAATTCGATATTTATTATTACCACCTACATTTTTTCTATTTACACAATTAATAATAAGATTCAAAATATATTACTTTACGGTATAAATATATTTTACATTGAGTATTCGTTTTTCTTTAAAATACAATTACAATCGTATTGCTTTTAATTAGACTTTCAATTTTCCTGAATAATCTTATTAAATTATGAGGGTATCAAATATGGATCTTGTCAAATAGGTAATTTAAAAAAATAAAGTTTTTATTATATAACAATTAGATCTGCTATTGCTAGCGTCCAAACATGATATTTTTTTATAATTAGAATAAGTTTTAAAAAATCACTAAAATCTTGAAATATTAAAACGATGGTCTATAGCTTCTAGATTATTCCTAATCTAAAAAACATGTATCGTCTAATATATATATAAACTCAATTTTTTGTATCTGAAAAATAATAATTAATTTAATGTATCAAATTATAAATACTTTAATTCTTAAATAATAATGGCATCGGATCATGTAACTATTTACATCATCTACACCTAAAATTTTAACACATTTGACCTGAAACATTTGCATTACCAATTTTAACTAATGCTAGGTTTTCTAAATTGTCAATTACAATATATTAACAAGTAGGCGAATATTTAAAAGGTACAAAATGGTAATTAGGAAGAACAATTGAAATACTTATCTTATTATAAACTCTATTCCAATATATTTAATAAATAAGAAAAAAAGTCTATCGACTTATTATCAGCTTTACGGTGTTATTCACGTAAAATCCATTAATCACTGATTTTTCTTCTTATCGATTTTTTATAATATTCTAATCTTTAAATGATTGACATAAATAATATACTTAAAATAGTAAAAAATATAATTTTACCATTGATTTGAAACGGTTGTATATATCAATTATTCAAAATATAAACGAACTTATCAATAAATAAAATACAAGTACATGTAAAAACTTGTTTGATGTTTAATTTAATTTTATACCTTTTTTTTCCTCTGGAACTATTGTTCTTCCTGTTATATTACCTAATAATATTAATAAAATTATTAAAACCTTTCATAGTGCTTACAATTTCTTTATTATTTATCATATTCTTCGATATATGCTCCAACTATTTTTAATGTATACTTGCCTTTATATATTTTGTGTAGATATTAAATTTAAATAATAATATTAAATATTTAAATAATATTAAATTTACGATAATTCAAAATTAAGATATGAAATATATTTTTAGACATTGAATTCGAAGTTTCTTATTACCATGGAAGAAAATTTTTGTTATTATTTTTTATTTTATTAACAATTATTTTTTGTTAAATAAATACACTGAGGAATACATATGCATTTTATATCTAATTAATTATTTAAGCTTTTTATAAATTTTCGATTATACTATGCTATTTATTATATATATATTTCTTCTCACCGCAATAACATAAGATTCTTCTATATATCTGGAAAATTCTTACGTCAAGTTAAATTTAACTATCTTTATTTTTATTTGTTTATTTGTTATTAAAAGTAATTATGATTCATATTTATTTAATATTCGTTTATTGCTTTAGTTTTATTTTTATTAAGACTTATTTTTTGTTTCTATTTATTTCAATTATAATTATCAGTTATTCAACTATGTTCTCCTAGACTTTTATTAACAGATATATTAATAATGAAATTTATAATAGTATAATATATATATAATGTTTCTTTGATGCATCTTTTTATAATTTATGGATCTGTAAAGCACATTACAGTAACATTTAGGGTTGATGTACAGCTATAGCATAATGCCATGATTACACATATAATGTATGTGTATTGTATATTCTTTCTCGAAAAACTATATACTTTTATATATATTTTATATTTTATATTTTTTATATTTTATAATATATATATATATATATATATATATATATATATATATATATATATATAACTATTTTATCCGAAAAAATAAATATAGTACAAGATATATAAGGTTAATATCCAAAACAGAATTCAAATTGAGAAGTTCTAAGGTTTGAAAAGAAATTTGTTAAAAAGTAATTTACATATTTGTATATTCATTTTAATTCTACTAATCATCGCAATATGGCATAAGAATTATAGGTAGGTATTCCTTAGTTAAGTATTTATATGTATTTCCTTACTTGATAAGTAACTTATTAGTATTTATTTTACATATTAGTTTACTGCAGTTACAAATAAAAAGTAGGTAATTAAATATGAACAAAATTATTCATATTCCATTACTAGTTAGAAACTAATATAATGGATACTCTAATACAATACTTAAATAATTATACATCAATCAAATATATCCTAATTTACATAAATATAACTAGTGGTAACAAATAAACACAGTAATTGTTGAATTTATAATTAGTTCCTTGTTCTAAATTATAAAACAGCATTTTATTTATACAATTCAAACTTAAAATTGAAATAAGTAATAAATTGTTATTTACATTATTTAAATTATAAATATGTCTCTTATTTACAACCTATAAAGAATTTTAATTGTTACTTTTTATATAAATACATATATTATTTTATTTAATTAAACATATAATTAAGATGATTTAAACTAACTTAATAATCTATTTAAAAAATTAAATAATTATTATCTTAATTATTTGAATTAGAAATCTAACTTTTATTAAAATGAAAATTTGAAATAATTGATTTTGTATGAAATATTAATTTCTAATCAGTTTTAAGAATAATTAGCTGTGTTCACATTGTGTTTAAAAATAATTAAAATTTTGAATTTTTCATAATGTTAGAATAAAATTTATAATATTTTATATTTATCAGTATAACTAAAACTATACGAATGAATCTATTAAAAATAATGAAAATTAAAAAATTATTAAGTTTTATTTATTGTATTCATTTGTTAAATAAAAATCCCTCTGAAATAATTTACAAAAATATTAATTCTATTCATTGCAATAGAAATCTATATTTCATTTAATAGATTAACAATTTTTTTATTGAAATTATTTAATATTTTTAATTTATCTTAAATATAAATATTTAGACATCATAATATTTTATTATAATGGATAATTAATATGGTAATGTCTACTTAAATTTAAAATATGTCATAACTAATCAACAGAAAAATTTGCCAAATTTAAAAACTTTATATTTCATATTTATAATTCGAAATCATTAATGCTAATGCACCCTAATTTAATAAGAAACAAAAATATGTTTTTCATAAATTTTTTAAATAAATGTAAAACAGCAAATAAAATTTTTAAATAAAATTGTTCTTGAATTAAACGCCATAAATAATTTGCTGATAAAGCTATATGTATTAAATATTAAACATCAAAA